GCTCCTCCCAGCTTCCGACTACTGCCGAGCGCGCGGTAATCAAATCGTTGAGCACAGTTCAGACAACGAAACAGTGCTCGGCAGTAGTCGGAAGCTGGGGGGAGCCGCCGAACATTTGATTGACGGTAGCGGAAAACGTATTTGTTGGTTGAGCTTTGAATTTCAGAGTCCGTATGTTATCGAAAGGCGCAGTAAAAGCTTTTGAGTTTGAGACGTTTCTTCGGCACACATTTCATCGGTTTGTAAGTAGCACAGTTTTGGTGTGTCAGGCAATTATTGATGAATGAAACTGAAAACTAGATTGCCAAAATGCTGAGAATTCAAGCTGGTAAAGATGATATGTTTGTACAGTAGAACCCCGTTAATCCGGACACCAACGGACCACACAAATCTGGCCATATTAACGGGGTGGCCGTAAGAAAGGGTTACTTGAAGTAAGAAAATGACTGACTGACCTTTTGTTCGGGCCAGAAAAAAAGTGGCCGTAATAACGGGGTGGCCGTAAGGTGGGGTTCCATTCAAAAAGTCGTCCAAAAATTCTTTCACGACCGTAAAATATTATGTCGCAGATGAATGTTGGTCTGTTTTCCCTTATTTCTCTTTTGACACTCTCTTATTCCGTCCTTCGTTACAATCCGATAATTTGTCGTTTGCTCATGACAGGTTAACTTTGCTTCTCGAAAACAGATCAAAAATTATTATACCTCAGGCAAACAAGATCTGTAAATTACAACCTGCATGTTTTGAACTTTTCAGAAAATTAGCTTCTTAGGGGCAAATCTTGATGGATTTTATTTCAAGAGATAAGAGGAGAGCAATCAGATTTTATGATGATTGAACTTGTGTACGAATTGCGGACCTATGTTTGTTTGTTGCAGACCTATGGGATCGTTCAACAGGAAGGCCAGGTGGAGTACATGACTTTTGTTCTAAGCGTAGAGGAAGACGGGCCTGGCTACATGGCAGGACTAAGGCCAGGTAAGTCCTCCACACATGTGATACCTAAAAGCTTCGCTCTTCAAGCCTGTAACATCCTAGAATTCAACATTCCAACATTGTCATCTTCCCTTTAGCCAGGTGCGCTCTTATTCCAGCTATCCCTCCCCCTCCAGTTGTAACACCTTGTTTATCCCAAATACTGTTATGACCTCCGACCCCTCCCCCCTCCGTTTTCTATATTTTCTTCACTTGGTATTTTGTAGCTCGCAAAATGGGAATGCGGAAGTCGGAGGTCTGAGAAGGAGAACTTTTGACTTGAGGGTTCGGAATGATGGGGATAGCTGGAGTAAGGGAAGGCTGGGGAAAACATGAGTTTTGACGGGGAAAACTGGAGAAAGATGGGAGTAGGATAACGGCAACATGGAGAGAGTCGGAGCGAGGTGAAGCTTGTTTGAAGGAAACATGGAATATTTAGAGGTAGAGAGGGAGAAGGTTCTTGGGGTCGGGGATAGGGGCTCGGGCGGTAGTGTTGCGATCCACTCTTCTCGCTTTTTAACGTTATTTTCCTTGGATGGGTTTTCATTTCTCGAGTTTCTTTTCGTTTTGTTCTGTAAAGTCATGTAATTGTTACTCGCAGGAGATATTATTCTGGAGGTTGACGGCACGAACGTTGAAGAGGAGGATCATAAATCGGTGGTCACGAGGATTCATGAGGCTTCTGTAGCGGTCAGGTAGATCGACTAACAACTTCTCCGTGGAATATTAATACACTCCCAAGCAGATAGCTGATGAGAATAAAAATAATCATCAACTAGAGGATATTGCTTTGATGTTTTACTAAATTCTCAGAACTAAAAATAAATGAAATGTATGGAAATGTGTAAGGAGAATTGAGATTTCGACAATGGGTCTGAAACTGTCAGAAGAACGAAAGTTATTATTCTTATGGGTCATGTAGCAGCTGTCGTAAGGTCTCACATGAATGGCTCGCTACCCTTTGAGAGAACAGTAGAACAAACAACAGAAACAATGCACCTGGCCCTAAAACAATAACAGCTATACACTATGACGACAAATAGAATTACAAGCTTATGAGAGCTACTACACTTCCGATTCTTATTCGGCGGTACAGGTGCCGTACTTTGATATTCGAAATCTGGCCCTCGAGGAATTTCCTCGAGACGAAAAAGTTGACAAAACTTAGTACTGGTAATCAAATAGACCGCGAGCAGTCTCTCTTTGCCTCAAAAACGTGGGGAAGACAAAACAAGTAACGCAAAACAAGTAAGCGTGCGAGGGTGCAAAATTTCAGTGTTAATTTGTGAAATTACGAAATTGCCATGGTAATATTTGACGCGAAATTTCTCAATACAATAAACAAGTCAAACACCCACGATTGTGTAAGTGTAATCAAATAGCATACTAGTGAAATTATTTCCCAATTTTACTCGCCACCATTTGATTACTAGGCTGCGAGCAGCCTCTCTTTTCTTCGAAAACCGTGGGGAAGAAGGCAAAACAGAAAAGCGTGCGAGCGTGACTCTTCCGACGCCCGCGCTACTAGCGCCGCTCGTACGTCACGCTCACAGCACCAAAATTAAGGAATAATTTGTCACTTATGATATTATTGAGAGAACCTGCATGTCGTCTATGGAGGGATAAGTTCATTCATGTAACAGAAAACGGAGAGTGTACCGCCGGCAGTCCACTAGATTGGTGAAATCTTTACCTACCGTGCCATTGATTCAATATATGTGTTAATCAAGACATGCAATCACTGATTTCTTGTTTCGTTTAATTCTTCTGTCCAGACTTGTCGTAGTGTTTGTAGACGCGCTTCGAAAAATGAAGTTGAACACCAGGTTAAAGCTGCTTCAGGTAAAAACTTCATTGTTTGCTTGTTGTTAGGACCTCAATCTTTGTAATTACTTGATTGGCTGAGAGCAGTCCCAAGTTATCGTTAATGTTTAATTTGCAACACAGTGCAAATTAACGCGCGCGCTTTCGTGATTTTTCCAGTCATATAAAAAATTAGTAATCGTATGAAAGCTCGAGCAATTAACTTCTTGTGTTATTTGAAAATTCTTTCAGATTGCACGAGCCTTTTGAGAGAATTTTCACTTGCACTGTAAATTCTTAATTATACTCGCATTCATATGCATACGATTACCTATACTTATATTTCCAACAGGCTGAGCTTGCAGACAAAGAACATCTATTTGAAGAGTTATCCAAGACAGAAGAGGATATAATGAAAGGTTTGTGAAGTTTTCACTTTTCTGTCCTAGAACAACAATTTGCACTATTTCATTTTATTGTAAAATAATAATAATAATAATTCTCCGATGATCTACGAAGCTCGCAAGTCGTTCTTTTAAAATTGAAACATCTCCTGTTTAGGCCAGGGATGGAGTATCTTGGAAACATAAGCCAGATTTCTTTCTAATTTGTCGTTCAAAATCCATCTATATCCTTGCCAATCTTTACCATCCTTGATCCTGTTTGGATTAGTTTTGTCCTTTTGATGTTTTCCTACGTCGCTAAGCTATTATTTGGCGATTTACTTCAAGTTTAAGAAATAAGGAACCTCGAAAAGAAATTTATACAATTGTTTTGGGAGAATTAGTTGTCTTTTCGACTATATGAAGGCTTCGTTTTTAACTCGAGAATTGTGTGAATGCACAAAAGCGAGTTATGGTGATAAAGGTGCAAAATGCACTCGCTCTCTTGGTTGCTCGATCAGTCGTTATTCAAATGAGGTGAAGTCGAAGTTGGGTTTAGAATTTCTGATCATTACTTGTTACTTACATTCTGCAAAGAAGTTCGAGAATAATTTAGGATTTTTTTCAGCTATCAAACCAAGGCTTTTTATTTCTTTCTCGACAGGAAAAGGAGTTGATTCTTTTGACGTCTCTTTACTGGACCTACCACGTGATAGAACTAGTTCTTACCTCTACACAACAGAATTAACAAGCTCGTTCAGTAAAAAATCTCCAAATGTTCATGACAGTCTCTTCCAATACCGCCAACCAGTGCAGGATAAGGGTGATCGACGTAGGTCTCTGCCTGATCAAGCGGAGCTTGGCAAACAAGGAATCTCTTTGACCACGGGTTCTGAAATTTTACAGAAGTTCTCCTCGCCAGACTTGAGCGCTCAGCGTTCCAAACCGAGCAACAAGCTGTTGAAAAGTTTCCGAAAGAAAAAACCGTCCGAAGAAAGCTCCAAGTTTTACGTTGAAATTGACTTGGATGATCGCAACTCGGGCAGAGACGAAGAAACCGGAAGTGAGTATTCGGCTTCCAGTGTATTCGAGCCAGCGATAACCGCCGCTGAACCGACATCAGCGACGAGAACGACGCTCGAACCCAAGACATTACAACGAGAAGCTCCGACAACAAACAACAGGAAATCTTTTAATGGAAAGCCAAATTCTCTTTTACGTGGTGACGAGCAGGACAATTCCAATACTCTTCGGGGGTCTTCGGAAAATCCCGGTTTAACGAATGGCAGCCGAGTTGCCCCGGGAGTCGCCGAGACTAGGAGACGTTTAGAAGAATCGTCCTCATCGAAATCACTGCCCCTAAAATATCCGAAACCGGTAAAGGATCAATCTCGCGGAAGCACTTTAGATTCTAATGCTCTTCACAGGCCTGATTTACAAAACGCTCGCATGTCGCCCCGACCAGCATCTTATTTGAAAGCTATGGATTCAGCCGGAGATAAACCTCTTATTCCAAAAGAAAGGAAAAAATGACTTGAAGTGGAATGTAGAGTAGCAGATTCTTGCTAAGCGCGATGACGACGTAGCTGCCGTAACAGCGTTTGGAACGCTCGTCACATACGTGTTTGGAGAACATGAGTCGGAATCTCTTCGGGAATAGTCCGAATATTTACGATAATTTACCGAATGCGACTACGGGATCTACCTTTTGGTCTACTGGAAGAGCGAGCTCTTTAGAAGGGCTAGTTGTTATACAAATACCCTCCGGAATTTTCGAGGTCGCTGCACCCGTAGTTGGGTGAACTGTGCTCGAGTTGTACCGGAAGAATTGTTATCTAATTTTATAGTAAATGAAAGTTCCAAAGTTTTGTACGTCGAATGGTACAAATTTGTAATAATGAATTTCAAAGAACTTGTGAGCAATGAAAATGCGATGAAATAGAACAACGGTGAGGCAAATAATTAATAGAAAATATAGAATTACCTGAAATACATATCAGAATAAAAATTATCCAAACAGGATTTGAAGTGGGATTTTTTTCCTCTTGTAATTTTAAATTTGTTATGCTGTTAACATTTGGCCCGGGTCAAACTTCCACGCATCGCCGTGTCGAACTTAATGGTATAAGTTTGACCATAGTTAATACAGGGGAATGGTTATGAAAGCCGACAAAGTTCTCTGTTGTTTGTTTTTGTTGGTTTTTTTTTTTTTTGGTCTTGACCGTGCACAAAACACAATAGTTTTTACTATTGACTGAGGCACTAACCAATAGAAACGTTTTGGTTGGCGTAATTCGGCTTCATAACCATTCCCCTCTATTAACTATGGTTTGACTTTAGTGTGACTAGTTCGACAGTTGATTCAAACGCCGCGCTTTATTCGTGTTGAACTTAGTTGTAGTTCGACATTTGGTTGTTCTATTGAGCGTAATTCAGTGATACTTGTATCTCGGCTCCATTCTCTTCCAGAAGCACTGCATTCTGATCTGATTCTGATTGATGAAAAATCCAATTAAGGT